CCCCAAAACCCCAAAACCCCAAAACCCCTCTCAGATTTATTAGATTGGTGTTATTTTAGAAAATACAGACGTTTAGTTCTCAAAGTTGAAACTCACAGATTTTGGGACCTCTGTCCTGCTTTTACCCGTCATGTTCAAATTTCTACTTCTAGCAAAGGTCGAAGCTTGAGCAGGGACATTATCAGCCTTTTTGGTGGGAGTGAAAGCATCAGTTCTAGATTTAGTTAATAGAATTGAGTCATGGCCTGGAACGTTCTCTGGAAGACCAGTTCCGATGGATTGGGTGAAATCATTCATTGGAGCAGGAGTTTCGTTTCCCATCTCAGATTTAGCTTCTTCAAGTCTTCTACTATATGTTGGATTTATATAATCTTCTCCATCAATAGGAGGAACTTCTAAGGCTGTCTTCACGTTATTAACTATTGGTCTAGATTTAGATAAGAAAGATTGTTGGGCTGTCTCCATTTTCGCAGTCCCTGGTTCTATCATTCTAGGTGGATGATGATGATGCTCTCAGTATAAAGAATCATCACTATCATCCCCGACATCAGGAGGAGTTACAGGCCTTGCAACTGGTTTACCTCTCATATAATCGAGATAGGTTTCATTATAGGATTTCTTTGAGGGTTCTAAGCTTTGAAGTCTAGTATAGAAGTTTTCTTTTTTATTTATTTTCTGTTTGCCTCCTATTCTTCATGTACATGATTGGTAAGCATCAATTGAATGAAATATTGGATGATCTTTGAAAGATTCATTTGCACTGAATTCTTCTCTAGTTTTAAAATATTTCTTTTTAACCGTTCTTTGATGGTCTCATCATTGAGTTCTTTCATCTCCATAGTTTATGTTCGAATAAAGAGATGGAACATTTGGGTTGTTTCTATCAAAAGGAGCACCGTGGCTATCGTGAATTACTGGGGCCCGATGGGACATCAGTCGATTATAGTCTTTTGTACCTGGAGCAGTAAAGTTGTTTTCATTAACTGGAGCATCAAGATACTCTAATTTTTCTTCTTCCCCTCTATCAAGGTACCTGAAATCTAACTTCTTCCTTTTCTGATCATATCCTTGGAAGTATGGGTCATCATGAACTTCACCATTTACTCTGTAGTCCTTCCTGAAGAAATCTTTCTGGAAGTTGACTTTACTTAAATTCAATCTTGGAGTAGCGAAAGGAACAAGAGGGTATTCATACCTAGTCATGTCATATTTATCTCTTCTCCCTGTATTCTGAATGCCTCCTTCAATAGCTACTTGGCCTTTCTCATTTGGAACAGGATAGGTGATATCAAACTCTCTTTCTTGAGTGACAGGATAAGCAGGCACTGTGATAGCATTCTCTTTCTTTTTCAGACGAATAGGATGCTTCTGGTACGCATGTGGATGAGTAAAACTAACATCTGAAGTATTCTTCAAAACTCCTTTAGTCGGAAGCTGATACCTTCTCCTTGGAGTATTATAAAACCTTCCAGGATTAAACGTCGATTGCTTTGTTCCAAGCGTGTGGGAGGTACCAGGAGCATCAGCTGCACTGCTTCGGAAATATGAGAGATTTGTTCCACTCATGAAATTATTATTCTATAATTGAAATTATATAAGGGGTTTTGGGGTTTTGGGGTTTTGGGG